ATCAAACTAAATTTAGAAAAAAAAAAAAAGAATGGGACAACTGCATATTGTCCTTTTCCCAGCCATGGCATATGGCCATATAATCCCCACCCTTGATTTAGCCAAGCTCTTCACTTCCCGTGACCTAAGGGCCACCATCATCACCACCCCTCCTTTCGCCCCGACCGTCGAACGCGCCCACTCGTCCGGCCATGAAATCGGCCTCGAAACCCTCGATTTCCCGCCCGAAAACTCCCTCCTCCCGAAAAACATCGTCAGCCTCGACCAGGTCCCAAGCCCCGAACTCCTTGCCAAGTTCTTCGAGGCCACGGCCCTCCTCCGTGACCCGCTCGAGCGCCTCCTCCGCCACCTCGACGCCAGTTGTCTCGTCTCCGACATGCTCCACCCATGGACGGTGGGACCCGCCAAAGCCCTCGGCATCCCTCGGCTCGTCTTCCACTGCATGAGCTACTTCGCCCTTTGCGCCTCCGAACATATGTACGCCCACAAGCCCTTCTTCGAGAGCCTATCTTCCGACTCAGACGCTTTTGCCCTTCCCGGCCTTCCCCACGAGGTGACGTTCGTTCGGAGCCAAATCCCGGGTTACTATTTGGGGCGCGACGACGCGTTTTTGAGCCACCGGAAGAAGATGAGGGAGACGGATAGGGAGAGCTTCGGCGTCGTCGTCAATAGCTTCTACGAGCTAGAGCCGGACTACGCCGACCACTACAAGAACGTGCTCGGGTTGAAGGCTTGGCACGTGGGCCCGCTTCTCCTACTATGCAATAATAACGACGAGTCGCGGAGGGGGAAAGAGTCGGACATCGACGAGCGCGATTGCCTCGCGTGGCTAGACTCGAAGAAGTCGAACTCGGTCGTGTACCTGTGCTTCGGGAGCATGGTCACGTTCGCGCGGGGACAGCTGCGCGAGATCGCCGCGGGGCTCGAGTCGTCGGGCCACGGCTTCGTGTGGGCGGTTAGGCACGAGGGAAATGATGATCCGTTGCCGGAAGGGTTTGAGGAGCGGACGAGAGGGAGAGGGCTCGTGATAAGGGGGTGGGCCCCGCAGATGGCGATTTTGGGGCACGAGGCCGTGGTGGGGTTTGTGACGCACTGCGGGTGGAACTCGATTTTGGAAGGGGTGTGCACGGGGGTGCCGATGGTGACGTGGCCGGCGTTTGCGGAGCAGTTTTATAACGAGAAGCTGGTGAGTGAGGTGCTTCGGGTGGGGGTACCGGTGGGGAGCAAGAAGTGGGAGAGGGTGGGGATCGAGGGGGTCGGGCGGGAGGCGGTGAGGGCGGCGGTGCAAAAAGTAATGGTGGACGACGAGATGAGGCAGCGGGCCGAGGGATTGAGGGAGATGGCTAAGAGGGCGATTGGGGAGGGTGGGTCGTCGTACGAGGGTTTGAATGAGTTGATTGATGAGCTTAGGGTTTATGGGCCTCCAAAGAAACAGGACATGAACTAGGGTGATTTTTTTATTTTTTTATTTTTGGTTTTTGGGTTTGCTGATGAATGTAACAGGTTGTGAAGTTTCTTCCTTCTGTTGTTGTACTGAGTGCTGGCTGTGTGGTGTGTTTTTTAGTTTCAATAAAATGCTCTCGTCGATGGATGTATGTGTGCATGGAAACGGGACATTAACTAGGGTGACTTTTTTTTTCTTTCAGAACCAAGAGTTGAAGTTGGGTACTTGGAGATTTGGATCGACCGTAGCCCACGAAGGGTTCAAGTGTCGGAAGCCGGAAATACGTTTTTGCAACGAATAACAAAATGTTCTGAAAAATCAAATGGCATGAGGATTTCGAGATCTGGCCATTAATTAAAACAGAGACTAACTTCAAAAATCAAATATGCTGAAATAAGCATATCAAGCTTTTTCCAGTCAATCGAAAAATTAAATAGGATCATTCAAATTAATTTCTACCAGCAACTACCAAATTTCATATCACCACTAATTATACATCTCACCTGTCCAAACTCCAAAAATAAAAGGTTTTTCTTTTTCCTTTCCTTTTTTTTTATTTTATTTTTGCCCTAAAACAAAAAAAGCAATATTCACAAAACCGACATCCCAGTCGTCGTTTTCCACCACCACCTTCCATTCCTCTCTGAACACACACCTAATAGGAAAGTGAAATTCCGATTTCACCCCTCCCCCTCTCAATCGATCTACTCATCATCATCATCATCATCATCATGCTGCGCCACGTACCTACGTCTACGTCTCAGCCCCACGGGATTATCATTACCTTGTGAAATATGCCTCACCGAATGCTCGTCAAAGTTATGGAGCCTTCGGCCAATCAAGTAACGATCATCTCGAATCGAATTGTGGAGGTTTGTGAACCAGACATGGAACCGTTTGACGCAAAAGTAGAGGACACTGAAAACGAGGCAACCCAACCAGGCGAACCGGTACACGGCAGAGTTGACCACAAGCGGGTAACCGAGTATCGGGAAGACCCCTCTTGATAAAACGTAAGGCACGCAAAGTGCAGTGAGAAGCTTCATGATTATGGGGACCACAATCTCACGAAGGACCCAAAGCCCTTGAAGCCTCGAGAAACCATGCTCCCTCACCCTCTCAAATTTCACACGCCAGCTGTCATCCACTAATGGCATCATGTGGTCCAGCATGACCTGTCACGAAGCGATTAAATTCTGTTTATTTAATTAATTATCGTTATCAATACTAATTTTTTTTTTATTTCTTGGCTCACCATCCTAGTCCAAATCTTTAGAAAGATGAGTCCAAGAGCCCAATCTTGATACAAAAGGAAAACCGGGCTTTCGTCCACTGGGACCCTCATAGGCACGATTACGAGGAGTTCAAACAGCAGCCCGATCAATACTGGGATGACAAAAATCTGAAATACGGGAGACAATTTCGATACATGATAATAGCCACAATACGGAAAATCCAACATTAGTATGTTTGTAAAATACGGCAAATAACATTTATTTACCCATATTGACAGCAGCGCAAAACTCTTGACAATAATGCCACACCATTTCCATATCTGGCTAAGTAACAGCCTAGTTCTCCTTGTCCTGATGAGGTCAAGGCAGTACCTTGCTCCAGCCAAACCAGTCCAAATCACATAGCTTCCAATGACAAAAGCATATAAATCTGGCAAAGTGTAAGAAATATTTGTTAAGCTCTACTTTTTCAAGTATTTAAAAATTAAATTAAAAAAAAAAATCAAGAATAGCAGACTAAAATAGAGAGTTTCATCTAACCGTTGCACTTGATTCCATGAGTTATTGGCAGAAGTGGGAGGGCATTAAAGAGCGAGCGCCCAAGTGAGACAGGTACAATTATCAATGCGGAATTGAACACAAGAAGAGTCATCCAAGCAACCACCAACAATAGCACGATGCGAAGTACAAAGGCCCACCGGCTATAAATATCAACACACAATTATAGGGACATGGGCACAAAAGGATCAAGATCATACAGGAAATCACATATTACATAAGCGAAAAATAGGTGACAGAAACTTCAAAAATCTTGTGTCATAAAAAATAAACGCATAAAGAAGAGAATAAGCAGAAAATCACAAGCTGCTAGCATCACTCTACCCAAACCAGGTGGAAAACTAGGCACATGGTTGTGTCAATTAATGTATGCTGATAAGGTGCAATTAATGAATAGATGAAGAACAAATATGCTGACGATTTTCACAAAACTTACTCTGGATCAACAGGTTCATAAGCATCAACCTCCTCCGCGGCATTCAGATTTCCCACCACACGTCTAACGTCTTCAAGGACTCGCATATGTTCATGGTCATCTGCCTGCGCCTGACCCCTGTCATGTCTCCCCATATCCCCATTGCCGTTATCATTTCCACCATTATCATCTGGCCTCGGGAGTAAAAATTCCGTTAAACCAAGCGCCCAGCCAACGGCTGTGAACCAATACCGGAGGAGAGATTTGAGAGTGTGTCGTAACTTGAAGTGCTCAACAGCAAATGGAATGCATATTTGAAAAAGAAGCATGTCCGCAGGAATCTCAGTAAATGGGTCAGACACCCTGTAAAATAAGAAAAAAATAAAATTAAAATTAAAATAAGATCCTGGGCCTTAAGTTAGAATAGAGATGGTATAATAAGCGGTAGAGTTGATTGAAAGACAATCTTACGAGATATCCAGAGGGAAAATGGAAGGGACCATCCTCATTGCAAGTTTGACTGGCAAAAACACCAGCATCACAATCAAGCTCCCATATACAGCAACTGACAGCAAAACTCTACGGGCATGCTTGTGCACAGGATCATCAATCAGATCACGGAATGGGTTGTAATTAGGGTCAGCAGGATCTCGAAGGAAGTAGAGTACTCCATTGCGCAAAACCTACATCATAAATTAGAGTCACACATAAGTTATGAAAAGCAACGAGTTAGTGTCGAAACAATATGTACTACAATGATCACAAATAAATACCCCTCGAAGAAGGCTGACAAAGATGCTGATCTGCAGCATGTAAACTATTCCCACAACCCAATGAACTAGAGAGCTCGCCAGGGGCGAGACAGAGAAGAACTCGACCCTCTGAGATATAGACTTCCCAAACATCCTAATTGTACAGACATCGAGCCACCACCCGCACATGAGAGGAAAGACGCCAAGTTCAATAACTAGAAGGAAAGCAACTTTGATCATGGTCATCAAATGTCTCATTGCCGCCACAAACTGCCTGAAGAGGGACGGGATGGTTTCCGCTAAGGAGGCAATGCCATAGAATCTCCCCATAGTTAAGGGCTCTCCTCTCGAGTACCGGATTAAAGTAATTATACCAAGATAGAATATAACGAATGAAAATATAAACATGTAGCCAACAGCAAGAGTAGTGACATCAGAAAGACGGGAGGCCCCAAGTGACTGGGCTTTCAAGAGGTCAGTTGCAACTGCAGAGGTGATATTGTTTGAGGCTTCAGTCTGCCCAGTTGCATTTGCTTTCAGAATCTCAGTGACTTGGCCTAGCAGACTCTTGTTCTGGTTACTATCAGAAGTCAGATTTACAACTGCAGTCAATGCGCTCTTCAGTGTAATGTTGGCCAGAGAAAGTGCCGACTCGGTGAGGGGGACAACTGTGGATAGCACAGGATTGGTGGCAGAGGAAAGAATCCACGAGAGGTAATAGAGTATGACGCGTCCTAACGAGAATGGCACGAAGATTACAACTCCCAGGAAAATCATATTGCTAGCAAGAACCTGCACGAAGAAAGAGGTTAACAGTACAGCAAATAATATAAGTAAAATCTCTAAAATATCACCCTCTAGAACTCACCGTGAATGCATTTTCAACCAGATGAAACACGGGTCCCTGCATGCCAACCAGCTCATCAAAAGGCACATCCTCTGCACCATCAGCATCATCTAGACCATCAAACATCTGTTCAACCTGAGCCTCAAGGCGGGCTGCCTGCATCTCCCAACGAGCAGCAACATTTTCTGCATTACGCCGTATTATTTGACCAGCACCAGCAATTCCTTGTGCTCCACCACCATCTTCCCCATTCCCATCCACGGCAACGTTTCTATTAGCTTGGGCCGCCTGTCTTCTTGCATTGCGAGCACCATTTCTATCTCCTTCATCTTCTCTGTCAGCATCTTGTCCACCAAGCTCTCGTAAATGTCTAAAGTAATCTCTCAGGGAAGTTGCGCCAAGAAATATAAACACGATGCTAGCCGAGAGGAGAAATCCATGCAAACAGTCGGTAAGAATGACTGTTGTAGACAGGTGACTCATGAACAACCTCTGAGCTTCTCCGAAGCTTCTAACAAATGCCAGGCGCCATATCCAGAATGTGATGAATGGAATAATGAGAAGCCAAACTGAGAGCACGAAACTGAGGCGTACAAAAAATTGCAGCACGTGGCAGGCTTTCATAGCCATCCCAACAATAAATTCTTGGAAAGGAAGTCTTATAGGGGCATTATCAGCATAAACTGGAGAAAATGAAAACGGATGCTTGCAGACCTGCATTGAGAATCAAAATATTAAAGGTTGTCTTTCGATCTACAAAGAATATTTCAACCTGACACTTCACAAATCAAAGCAAAATAGTTGAAACTGGAGATGGTCAAATAGAAGGAAACAACAGTTGGTGCCGCATGTTCATAAATGTATGTCTACATATTAACAAAGCCTACCCAGAAATAAGAAGAAATGTAACACATAAGTAAGCATTTGACTTGATTGGATTTCAAATGCTCCTCCCAACCACTTAGTAAACATTGGAAAAAGGCAAATCGATGACTCAAAAAAGTGGGTCACAGCCGGGTATTAATTTTATCTTTCAACTGAGATTTACGAAAGTTATGACCTACTTGATGAAAATTAAGCTGAACTCCGGCCATTCCATCCTTTTACACCAAATCAACTGAACATATAAGATCTAAACCCATGCCTTTGACATATGCATCAAATTAGCAACCCAACTAATCACAACAGAAAAATCAAATCTCATCAAAAAAGGATAACACCAACAATTTCACTAATAATTCTTAATCAATAAAAACAACAATCACGTGGGCCCAAGAAACCGAACCTCGCATTGGCGGGCGTTGCTGTGATTAAGCCACTGTAGGAGGCAATCCTGGTGAACGAACTTGATGCTGCCGCTGCACGCACATGGATAGCGCAGCGGATTATCCGCTTCGCCGGGGTTTCTGCAGATCCGGCACACATCGCCCTCTTCGTCATCATCCATCGGATGGTACCTGGCGGCTCCACCGCCATCACCGCTGTTCTTAACGCTATCGTTGCCCCCGCTGCTGTTTTCTCCCTGCAGAGAACCGATCGACGACGCCGTGGTTTCCGACGGCGCCGCGGAGGAAGGCTCCGCCATCCCCGGCACCGGCGCCGAAGCCGTCTCCGGTCCGATCTCCATCGAGTCGGTGGAGAATCCGGTGGATCTCGATTTTCTCTCTCCTAGGTTTTGGTTAGATTTTGTGGTTTGTGGTGTGGCAGCTGAAAAACAATGGCAAACGTGTGACTAGGAAATTTTAATGAAAAGATAGTTTTATTGGAAAACAAAAATAATAAGAAAAGTTAAATTAAAAAGGATAGACTGGAATGACGAAGTTGTCCCAT